TGTATATGTATATATGTGTATATATGTATATATATATATACACACATATTTACAATACTTTATTGTTTAAAACTTAAACAATAAGTATAACTTAAGTATGTACCGCATGCCTGATATTGAATACAGTAAGTAGTTTACCAAGATTATATCATTGTATAACTGTTTAAGATCCATTGATGTAACCTTTGAATTTTGAGGTCAAAGTGTTAGGCTACCCCTTTGATTAATCTATGAGTTTGCTTATTAGTATAAAAAAAATTAATCAGAAGATTGTAATAACTTCATAATTATTGTAATATTTTTTCTCTTCAGATTTGGCGATCGTTTAGTCATGCTTGCTGGCATAATATTCCTTATCATTGGAATCTTTGTTATGTTGCCATGGGGACCTGGTTATATGCCCAGGCCTTACTATGGTAAGTAAATGCATGGTATAATAAGTTGCTAAATTGTTTTTGGAGTGGAGTTAATTTGCTTAGTGGTTGAGAAGTTTTCCTTCCAATCTCAGGGTCCAACTCCTGCGACAACAATATTTTTTTTCTAATTACTAAAAGCTGTGCCACTCCCTAAGCCTGATTATGAGACTTTAACATATATTTAGGCCCTGTGCGAGATCATTAGATATCTGCTGAACACCATTTTTGCTAAATTTATCTTTTAGCTACAGCTTTAACCTATTAAAAAGTAAAAAGAAATAAAACATTGTATTTATTGATTATTAATTGAAGTTTTTTCCTTTTTTATCTTTCAGCTCTCAATGTTTCTGATTATAATGACACAATAGTTCCAGGTACGCTGGGATGTTCTTGGGCCTACAGCTGGTGCGACACGCTGAAAGTGCTCCCTCTATGGCAGTACGGACTCGCTATATTCATCATCTCCTTTGGATACCCTACCTGTCAAGTACTGAGCTTTATAATTTATTCTAAGATGCTTGGCCCAAAGCCACAGGTAAGGCCATGAAATTGATTATCAGGTTTTTTTTTATAATTCTCTCCCATTAAGGAAGATGAATGTGGAAAGAAGAATTAGTCTCTGGATCTCATGACATTTTTAAATTTAAAATGCATTTACCCCCAACCTCCACCCTCATAAACAATGAAACACCTTCTCATATGTTCTCTGCTACAAGAGATATGTGATGAGATTGACTTGGCTGCGTCTAATGACACTGCCATATATTATGTTCAGCATTGGCTGAACCATAACATCTAGTTTGGGTTTGGTGGATATGAAGAAGATTTAACCCCAAAATGATTATTTTTATAAGTCAAACATGTCATAAAATCTACCTCCAACATTATTCTCCTATCCCAAAACATTTAATAATTTTCATTATTGAATCTATGGATTGTATCTGTTTACTAATATAAATTCATTGATCACAGTTGATAGCATTGTAAGCACTTTCATCACTTCTTCAGATTTTGAAATAGTTTTAGATACTTTAACATTAATTTAATTATTATTGTTATTATTAATATTATTATTATTATTATATTATTATTGTTATTTCAGGGTTTATATATGGGTATTCTGACTGCTGCTGGTAGCTTAGCCCGTACGCTAGGTCCAATATTTGTCAGCCAGATATACTCCAGTAAGGGTAACCGTGCAGCATTTAGTGTCCTCCTAGGCATGGAGGTGGCCATGCTAGCTCTCTATTTAGCCTGTTATAAACGCTTCATTCCTTATCAAGAACGATTGAAGAAGAAAAAGGAAAAGGCTTCAAGCCCTTTAAACAGTCCGCATCATAATATATAGTCCTTGCTACATTTTTCTGCTTTGGTTTGTATTTGTTGTTTTACATTTTAAAATTGATGAAATGCAAGATTTACTATATAGAATTTTCTGAGTATGAGGGCCAATTTCATATATGAAAGCTTCGGCCCAACCTTTAGATGGATGACCCCTAAGGGTCTTGTCGTGTCAAGCAACCACAGTGGTGGGTGTAGCTCCCACCACTGTGGCTGCTTGACATTGTTATTGAAGTGCAAATGATTATGTTTTTCTAAGTTAACTTACTTGCTCAATTTTTTTTTCTTCATAGCTAGGCCAGCTTAGGCCTAGTCGGACACAGCAGCAAAGTGAACTCCTATCCCTTCAACCCATTCCTTATTTACATCATAAAACATGATATAGATGATGTAATGAAAAAGCAAGCCATAATTTAATACGCATATTTGGAAACAATGTAACCTTTCATGTTCAATTTCTTTTAAAATTCTTAGCGCTTTCATTGTCACAAAAAAAACCAAAAAAAAAACCGGCTATTCCTTCAACCCATTCCTTATTTACATCATAAAACATGATATAGATGATGTAATGAAAAAGCAAGCCATAATCTAATACGCATATTCGGAAACTATGTAACCTTTCATGTTTGATTTTTTTTATTCTTAGCACTTTCATTGTCGTGAAAAAAAACCGGATTTGCTGTGTACTATACCTAAACCTTGATTTTGGAGATGCAAAAATCAGAGTGTCTGCATCTGACACAAATACTCAAAAAACCATGTTTCCGCATGTGTTTTATACGCAGATTATTGCATGTAAAGAACATCAGATCGCTTTTGAAAGTAGCTATGGATGCTATATTGAGAATGGAAGATAATATTATATTCCAGAGCAGAGGGGACGTCAACACAAAGAGCCAAAGTACCATAGTAGTTGCAAAATCTTTGCCATTTTAACAGTCTGCAACCCAAACAATATTTGTGCAACATTGTATTGTGCTAAAGTAACAAGATATTCACCTGACTTTATACTGTATATGGTATTAAAACTGAGTTGATGCATTCTTCCTCTCCCAAAACATTCAGTAGAAATGTTTCTTCTGTCCCTATCTCTGCAATAACCGGTCAAAATTGTGTATAATCCAGTAATCAGCAATTATACAACCGTTTGAGGAGAGAGAATAAACCCTGTTTTCCGCTAGCCAAATTTATTTGCACAAATCGAAAGTGTCAGTTTGCTTCCTGAGCTCTGATTTGTTGCGCATTTTTTTCGCTTCACAAAAAAGTAGAAACAGTTCAAACTACTGATATTGCGGAAGTGAAAAAACTACGATAGATATGTGAATGCACGTGAACCGACACAAATAATTATTCGTGCAAATAAATTCGCTTAGTAGAAAACAGGCTTTATGCGGAAAGCATAGCCTTACTAATAAAATAAATATGCACCTTGATATTTAAATCTTGGACCCTCATGAGACTGATTGTTTAAGTAAATTGAGACCTGTAGCTGGGGGAAAAGGGAGTGCATACATTCGATTAGTGCATACTCACCACCAGCTTCCCCCCACCCCAAATTCCCATATCAGAAAAGGTCTACATTTTCAAGACATTAGAGAATTTACTAAACATAATTTATTTTTATTTTCTGTAATCAAAATGAATTAAGGGAATCTTAAATATTTACTTTTTATTCAGCAGTCTATCTTAGGCCAGTATTTGGTCAAATAAATTGCTATAAGAAAGTATAATACATGTCATCATCAATCATCATTCCTGATGATGACATAATTAATGTTGAAATATTGAATCCCAACACGATGGCGTGTATTTCAATACTTGGAGTATGTATTATACTTTCTTATCTTAGATTAATCAGTGGACCTTTCGGTTTTCAATTGCTATAGTAATGAAAAATTGAAGCTGCATTCCAACCAGCTCTGAACTCTGACCCCAGTTAGGCAGTCCAGTTTTAGGAGCCATTAGGGGCTCATATTGACTTGTGCTTATCATCAGTTTTTGTGTGATGATTTTATAGCCTCCCAAATGACCTCCAGGGAGAATATTGAATTTTCTCATGTTCTCATATTGTTGGTAGTGGTTAAGTTTTGGAGAAACTTTTTTATAACTTGTTTCGCGAACTTATTTTTTTAAAAATTGTTAGAGCATTGCGGGAAAAAAATAAATATAAAATTTTGTTTTCTTATCTAGCAAATAGTTTTGCCAAAAACAAACACATAGAGGATAAAATAAAAATATAATTTTAGTGAATGTAAACAGTGTAGTTAAGGGATGGTTAAATACTTTAAATTCATAATAATTTGAAAGAAATATACATATCTTTTTTATTTTGAGATTTTAAGGCAACGGAGGGCGTAATAAAAATTAAGGAAAACTTGTGGCAACGGCTAATTGGCCAAAAATAATGTTATTTTTATTTGAATTCATCATTATTGGCAGGTGGTGGGTTTGCTAAACAAGGTATAAACAAATTCTTGACTACTGTTGTCATGGTAATTAGGAGTTGGTAAAAATGGAGTCTAATAACTGTGTGAACCTTAATTCTTATGCTAATCAATTATTTACATATTTAATGTTACATAATCATAAATATATAGAAGTTGGAGGCAATACAATAAAAATTGTAATTCTATTTTATATAATTCATGAATTATGTAATATTTCATACCAGCTAGAGCGGGCTTAAAGTGGTTATACAGTAGAATGACTGGATTAAGTGCTTTTGGCGTTGAAGTATTGTCTATTTCAATTTAGTCTTTATTTCTTTTTGATCCTATCGTGGTATGTTTGCCCTCTGGGCATAATTGGAAAACAATGTTTTTCTGAAATTTCTCAGGCAAAGGAAGATAGGCTAAATAAATATAGAATAAAGTAATTTATAATTTTTAAAAATTATGATTAATTGTAATTAATGATTTCAAAAAATAAGTAAATAAAATTTATATTTTTTAATCTATCTTTGTGTGTAGTTGACTTTATTTTCTTTGACTTAAAATAAAGAAAAAAGTAAAATGTAAAAATATAATTTTCAACAAAATGTTTATTTGAAATATAATAATAAAATACTGTATATACAGGTAATTTCTACACATTGGTTATTTATCAGCCAAACCTCCATGTACATGATTAACAACCAATAAAGCTCTAGGTTATTTAACAGACAATCGGACATCACGTCCGATCACTTAGCTCACGTATCCATTACTGGCGCTTTCTAACGTACAGTATTTCCTCATTAACATAATACTAATAACGTTTACACTCAAACTTATTTACATATAGCAATAGCAGCGGTAATGATTATATATGCAAGCTGATGACAGCATTACAAAAGCGTTGTCGAACTTCATTAGCTTTATTTATTGGCTGGTTGTGTAGATAGCGACAGACTAGTGTCCCGTCCAGGGGGAGTACAACTCTCATCCGCTTCACACTACAGGAACTGGGATAAGCTCCAGCCCTATGGGCCCCAGTGGCTCGGAAAGGATTTAGTTTTTAGTTTTGTGTAGATAGAACTGAAACAAAAAGAATACTTTGTTAGTGAAAATACTAACTGAAATGATATAATACTGAGATATATAATTACATTAAATGTAATTACATAAAAACGATATAATAACATAATTACATAAAATATAATTATATGTCTGTTAAACTGTCATAAAATCTGGGAAAAAAGACTGGGCAACTGATAAAAAAAAAACATACGTGGTATGTGTGTGTTCAGCTTTTGTAACTAGGCTGTTTACAAACATCATCTAACTTATTTTCATAGGTAGAACTGAAACAAAAACAATACATCATTAGTAAAAAACTAACTGAAATGATATAATTACATATAATGTAATAACATAAAAAAAAATGTTACATTAAAATAAATAAATTAACATAATAAAATACAATATTATAGTTTTATTTTAAACAACATAAAATTATGGAAAACAACTTTCAAAAATACAATTGTATAATTCTGTATAGATGATTTTAAAAGATGTTGAGAACAAAGTGTCCTAAACACTGACTTGTGCAACTAAAATAATAAATTTGAAATTAGATGGCCTAACTGGAATAAGGTACTGCGAAAATATGTATTAAGCTTATTTCTCAACAAGATTTAAAGCAAGTCTAATTCTAATTTAAAATGCATTATAATATACATATAGGAAATATAAAACTCAGTATTTCATTTCAATAGGATTTTTTACGTACTTGTGGAATGCATAATCGTTTTTAACAGCTGTGCGTCTTGAGCTATGCAAAACATCATCATCTGACCTATTTTTGGATGTAAAAGAAATTATAAGTAATACAGTTAGGCATGCTAATATTGGATATATGTAGAAGTCTCATTATCTCTCAAGTTGTAAAAAGGAAAGTTTATGTAAATTTGAATTTAGATAATACTGGGCCCTCTATTGTCGAATATGCAAACATTACTGTGTGTATTACACCATAGAGGAACTCCTCCATGATTACACGCTGTGACATTAACATTCGACTAGAAATAAATTGGCCTATTACTACCCCCGGGCACTCATTGAAACTCCTGGGTGGAGAGAAGAAATGCAGATAAAGTGCCTTGCAAAAGGACACAAGTAGAATGCACAGCGAGAGGATTGGAACCCCGACCTCGAGGTTGGGAAACCAAACCTTTCCCACTGCGCCAAACCACTTCTTCTCTTGGTACATTCTATAGAGTCTAATTTGAAGAGGCCAGGAAATTGGATCTAGTTTCTATCAACATTCAATAACCCACTGTACCATAAGCCTTGGACAGAAAGGGGGGGGGGGTTGGGGTCATAAAGTTCTCCTCTATTTAAATATTTATCCAAACATTTGTTTTCAAGCAATATGGCACAATTACATTACCAATCCTACATTTATAAAAAAATTCATAACCAACAGGTGCTTGAAATTTGTTTGTGTTTATAAACTTTTGACAAATTTTGATCATGTCAGCGTCACAGACGTACAGACGCTCATACATACATGGACGATTGCTAAGGTTCCTATTGCTTGACAGCATGGAAACCAAAAAAAAAAAAAAAAAACGGACAATGTTCGGCAGACAAACCTTCTACAATAGCAACAACATAATAGTAGTATCACCAATAAAGCTACGCCTAAAATGCTGATGGCAATGTAGATTAGATACCAGTAATTATCTGAAAAGGTAGAAATATGTAATTTATTGCGATAATCACATAGTTTCTTTACATTCAAGATTGAAACCAAACAATTGACCTAATCAAACATTGGTACAGGTTTCCCTCCTATTCAAGCCCACTTTTAGGACCACGGTTTCCATGGTATTTAGCAGCTTTGGTCTGTAATTAGAATGATAAAGATAAAGACATTTGTAAATTTAGGAACCCCTGAAAAGTGTTATTTAATTGGAAGGGTGTTTAATGAAAGGGAGAGCTGTTATTATGAACATCAATGTTACCTTCTTCGATACAAGAGGGCACAGTGTCAGACCATTCTCCATCAGTACAGCTTATCTTAGACTGTCCGTTCAATGTGAAACCATCGTCACATTTAAAATATATGATGCTGCCCTCAACGTACAGAGCTCCATTTTGAGGGGCATCTATTAACTTGCACATAACTTCTGTTAAAAAAAAGAAAAGAAAATTATTGCTTTAAAATGACGGGCAATTCCATTATTCCCTTGAGATTATGCTGCGGCACTCATGGAAAAAATGTGCCTAAATTCCATTATTTTCTGCTGCAGTTCAACCGCCATTCGGCCTGCGTATTCTTTGGCGGTGGTATGCACTCTATGGAGTGACTGCTCTAGTCACACCTTTTACAACTATCAACATTTCAAATGTTATGTTAAGCTCTGTTCAAATTACTGTATTAAATAATTATTGTATGCCCATATATAATCATTATGTGCCTATATATGCTCATGATTTGATAGTGCTTTAGGCAAAATGTACCGTTTTTCACGCAGGATGGCACTCTGTCTGACCAGAATCCCTCTTGCGTGCAATAAATAGTAGATGCTCCATTAGAAATGCTATAACCATCATTACAGTCAAAGACTAGAACACCGCCCTCTGTGTATACAGAACCATTTTTAGTGCCATTACTAGGAGTAGGTATAAAACCGCATACCACAACTGTTGGAGAAATGTTTAAAACTTATTAGAAAACTGCTTGCGTTTTGAATCTTCAGAAAATTTTATGTTTCACATTATTGAGTGATTTTGATTGTTTTGTTTGTAAAATATATAAAGTAACCTGGTATAACACTTTCTACAATTTCTTCAAAAATTTCGACTTCTTGTTTTGTCACTTTAGCTATCTCTTCATTGCCCGTAGCTTGGAAATCATAAATGCATTCCAGATTGTCTCCACAGACAGCAAAAACTTCGGCTTGGTCAATATTGTTTGGTAGTTCAAACCACGGTTCGAAATATGGGTCAGAATATGTTTCGTAATCAGTGCCGGTACCGTAATAAAACACGGAATCCTCAGGAACAACTCTCCCTGCAATACAATATTCAAGGAAAGAAAGGAAACATATATTCCAGGTTTTCTGAGTCATAAGCTTGTCAATGTGTATGGCTATATACATATTCATGATGTGATGTCATCATGACCATATTTAGGCATGTCAGTATGTTCTCGACAATAAAAATTTGATAGCCTGGACAGGGCTTTATTCTAAAATTAAACACAGAGCATTCTTCGTAAATTTTGTACCGGC